CTCCTTTTTGCAATCAGGGGCACCCACTGCGAGATATTAAAGACGATGCAAGTTTAACGCACTTCAGCATTGCCTATATTTTTGATAAGCAATGCAAATAAGTAAAATTACATGGTTGAAACATTTAGGAACAGTTTATATGAGAATCTACTGGCAGAGTTGGGTAGTACATTTACAATTCAGAGGTACTTGTACTTAACTTGAGTATTTCCATTTAATTCTACTTTCTCCTCCTATTCCTCTACATTTCAATACGGAAATAATGTCATTTTATTCCAGTACATTCATTAAACAGCTTTAGCTACTTTTAACTAAATGTATCTCTAACAATTAAACTAGGGGACTAACGCTTTAAGTCACAAAACAGTCAAATCATATAAATACAATTAAACTTGTAAAATGCTTCTTAATGCATGAATATATCTAGAAATATCACATATGTACATTTAATCATTAAGTACATTTTGCTGATAATACTTTTGTACTTTTACTTAAGAAACCTTTTGAATGCAGAACTTTTCCTTGTAATGAAATATTTTGAAACTATGGTTATCTGTACTTGTACTCAAGTAAAGAATCTGAATACACCTCTGTCTACTGGTGGTGAGCAATTAACAGGGGAGAGGAGAATATAAACTAAATGCTCAGACAGTTACACAAAACAAATGAATAAAATGTGTGCAGGAAATGTCTTACACTGGGTTTGATGCACCATTGTTGTCTAAAGAGTTGCCGATGTGGATATGTGCCCCGTCGAGCCTTTCTGAACAGCAGTCTCCTCTGTTGGAGATGATGACGGAGGTGACGACGTAGGGCTCCAGTAGGTCCACTCTCCACCAGGGGTTGTTTACTTTATCAGTGTGGCTGCACGATCCAGAATAGAAGTGATTGTCACGGTTTCCATCAATACCGTTGCTGGCAGATGCAATTTTTACATAAGTCTTTGACTGGGTCGCTTTTCCACGCAACGCCACGTTTTCTAGTAAAGAGACAGTTGAATATATAATTATAATATACACATTGGAAAATGGTTTAAGGCGGTTAGAGTCCCCTGACAACTCCCCTCACATTCCTCCAGTCAGAAAAAGGTCTGAGTTAACTTTTCTGAGAACCAGAGAAAAGGGGTGAAAATGGATAAATTGTATCCGAAAATAGTGTCCCATAAGGCGGGTAGAGTCCCCTGACAACTCTCCTCACATTCCTCCAGAGTCAGAAAAACTCTAAGTTAACTTTTGGAAGAACCATAGAAAAGGGGTGAAAATGGATAAATTGTATCCGAAAATAGTGTCTCTTAAGGCGGGTAGAGTCCCCTGATAACTCCCCTCACATTCCTCAAGAGTCAGAAAAAGGTCTGAGTTAACTTTTTGGAGAACCAGAGAAAAGGGGTGAAAATGGATAAATTGTATCCGAAAATAGTGTCTCTTAAGGCGGGTAGAGTCCCCTGACAACTCCCCTCACATTCCTCCAGTCAGAAAAAGGTCTGAGTTAACTTTTCGGAGAACCAGAGAAAAGGGGTGAAAATTGATAAATTGTATCCGAAAAAATGTCTCTTAAGCTACATTAGTGTTCCAACAGATAACTTTATGATGGTCCTGAATATTCAACGTACAACAACTAAAGTTAATAGAAAAAACTATCAACTAAGGAGCAGTTGGGTTGAACACGATAAGAAATGTATTTAACAAGAAAAAATGTAGGCGCATGATCACAGATGAGTGAGGGGGCTCTTCTAGAATGGAGACCAGCTCAAGAGGTAAACGAGACAACAAAGGTTGGGAACCTCTGATCTAGACAATTAAACTTACTTTGTATAAACCTGCTTTTCTTGCTAACGGACAGCCTTACATTCACTTCCCTGTTATGTTTTATAGGGAAGACGTCATATACAAACGATTCATACTCACGATAAGTGGAGGCAGAGCACGTCTCCATGAGGAGCATGAGAAGGAAAACACTGAGTTTCATCATTCTGGATGAGACCTAGGATAGTCATTAAAAGAACATATTTAACATAAAACATGTTTCTTTGTTATTTCTGAATTTTTGTTGAAAATCTGATCTATCCATCCATCCATCCATCTTCTTCCGCTTATCCGTGGTCGGGTCGCGGGGGTAGCAGTTCCAGCAGAGAGCCCCAAACTTTCTTTTCCCTGGCGACATCAACCAGCTCTGACTGGGGGATCCCAAGGCGCTCCCAGGCCAGCGAAGAGATATAATCCCTCCACCTGGTCCTAGGTCTACCCCTTGGTCTCTTCCCAGCTGGACGTGCCTGGAACACCTCCCTAGGGAGGCGCCCAGGTGGCATCCTAACTAGGTGCCCGAACCACCTCAACTGGCTCCTTTCGACGCGAAGGAGGAGCGGCTCAACTCCGAGTCCCTCCCTGATGACCGAACTTCTCACCTTATCCCTAAGGCAGACACCAGCCACCCTGCGGAGAAAACCCATCTCGGCCGCTTGTATCCGCGATCTCGTTCTTTCGGTCATGACCCATCCTTCATGACCATAGGTGAGGGTAGGAACGAAAATGGCCCGGTAGACAGAGAGCTTTGCCTTCTGGCTCAGCTCCCTTTTCGTCACAACGGTGCGGTAAAGCGACTGCAGTACCGCTCCCGCTGCTCCGATTCTCCGGCCCATCTCACGCTCCATTGTTCCCTCACTCGAGAACAAGACCCCGAGATACTTGAACTCCTTCACTTGGGGTAAGGACTCATTCCCTACTTGAAGTGGACAGTCCATCGGTTTCCTGCTGAGAACCATGGCCTCAGATTTGGAGGTGCTGATCCTCATCCCAGCCGCTTCACACTCGGTTGCAAACCGATCCAGTGAGTGCTGAAGGTCGCAGACCGATGAAGCCATTAGAACCACATCATCTGCAAAAAGCAGTGGTGCAATCCTTAGTCCACCGAACTGCAGACCCCCTCCCCCATGACTACGCCTCGAAATCCGATCCATGTATATTACAAACAGGATTGGTGACAAAGCGCAGCCCTGGTGGAGGCCAACCCTCACCGGAAATGGGTCCGACTTACTGCCGAGTACCCGGACACAGCTCTCGCTTTGGGAGTACAGAGATTGGATGGCCCTGAGTAGAGACCCCCTCACCCCATACTCCCGCAGCACCTCCCACAGTAACTCCCTGGGAACTCGGTCATACGCCTTCTCCAAGTCTACAAAACACATGTAGACCGGATAAGCGTATTCCCAGGCCCCCTCCAGGATCCTTGCGAGAGTAAAAAGCTGATCCGTCGTTCCACGACCAGGACGGAATCCGCATTGTTCCTCCTCAATCTGAGGTTCGACAATCGGCCTGACCCTCCTTTCGAGTACCTTAGAGTAAACTTTCCCGGGGAGGCTGAGTAGTGTGATGCCTCTGTAATTGGCACACACCCTCTGATCCCCCTTTTTAAAAAGGGGGACCACCACCCCGGTCTGCCACTCCTTCGGTACTGTTTCCGACTTCCACGCAACGTTGATGAGACGTGTCAACCATGACAGTCCCTCAACACCCAGAGCCTTCAGCATTTCCGGGCGGATCTCATCCACCCCCGGGGCTTTGCCACTGTGGAGTTGTTTGACGACCTCAGTGACCTCCCCCCGGGAGATTGGTGTTGATCCCCCGTCATACTCCAGCTCTGCCTCTAACATAGAGGGCGGAGTTGTCGGGTTCAGGAGTTCCTCAAAGTGTTCCTTCCAACGCCCTAACACTCCATCAGTTGAGGTCAACAACGTCCCATCCTTACTGTACACAGCTTGGATGGTTCCCTGCTTCCCCCTCCTGAGGTGTCGGACAGTTTTCCAGAACAACTTTGGTGCCGCCCGAAAGTCCTTCTCCATGTCTTCTCCGAACTTCTCCCACACCCGCTGCTTTGCCTCGGCCACGGATGAGGCTGCTGCCCTTCGGGCCTGTCGGTACCTTGCAACTGCCTCGGGAGTCCCCCGGGATAACAAATCCCTGAAGGCCTCCTTCTTCAGTCGGACGGCTTCCCTGACCACCGGTGTCCACCAGGAGGTTCGAGGGTTACCGCCCCTTGAGGCACCTAGGACCTTGAGACCACAGCTCCCCGCCGCGGCTTCGGCAATAGAGGCTTTGAACACCGACCACTCTGGTTCAATGTCCCCAACCTCCACAGGAATGCCCGAAAAGCTCCGCCGGAGGTGTGAGTTGAAGGCCTCCTGAACTTGGGCCTCCTCCAGACGTTCCCAGTTCACCCGAACTACACGTTTGGGCTTACCAGGTCTATCCAGAGGCTTCCCCCGCCACTCGACCCAACTCACCACCAGATGGTGATCAGTTGACAACTCCGCCCCTCTCTTTACCCGAGTGTCCAAAACATACGGCCTCAGGTCCGATGATACGATAACGAAATCGATCATGGACCTTCTGCCTAGGGTGCTCTGGTACCACGTACACTTATGAGCATCCTTATGTTCGAACATGGTGTTTGTTATGGCCAATCCATGACTAGCACAGAAGTCCAGTAACAAACCACCACTCCGGTTCAGATCAGGGGGGCCGTTCCTCCCAATCACGCCCCTCCAAGTGTCTCCATCATTGCCCACATGTGCGTTGAAGTCTCCCAGCAAGATTAAAGAGTCCCCTTCAGGAGCCCCATACAGGACTCTTTCCAGGGTCTCCAAGAAGGCCGTATACTCTGAACTGCTGTTGGGTGCATAAGCACACACAACAGTCAGAGTTTTCCCCCCCATAACCCGCAGGCGTAGGGAGGCGACCCTCTCGTCCACTGGGGTAAACTCCAACAACGAAGCACCTAACCGGGGACTTGTGAGTATCCCCACACCGCCCGGCGCCTCACACCTTGAGCAACTCCGGAGAAGAATAGAGTCCAACCCCTATCCAGAAGTAAGGTTCCAGAGCCGACGCTGTGCGTAGAGGTGAGCCCAACCAGATCCAACTGGTAACGCTCCACCTCCCGCACAAGCTCCGGCTCCTTCCCCCCCAGAGAGGTGACGTTCCACGTCCCCAAAGCCAGCTTCTGTCGCCCGGGTCTGGTCCGTCGAGACCCTCCGCTTTCACTGCCACCCTTCTGGCAGCGCACCCGACCCCATCGATGTTTCCCGTAGGTGGTGGGCCCGCGGGACGGAGAAGCGGAGGTGTTGCCCACGTTGCCTTTTCGGGCTGGTTCCGGCCGGGCTCCGTGGCAAGCCCGGCCACCAGACGCTCGCCGACGAGTCCTCCTTCTGGGCCTGGCTCCAGAAGGGGACCCCGGGCTTCCTCCGGGCCGGGTATCCTCACTTCTTAGTTTTTCTTTCATGAGGTCTTTTGAACCAATCTTAGTCTGGCCCCTTGCCTGAGACCAATTTGCCATGGGAGACCCTACCAGGAACACAAGTCAGTCAGTCAGTAAGCCAAGTTTCCTCCGGTCAGATGGGTATGGAATATTAATAGTTTCATGAATGACACTTCAGATATAGCACTGTTGCTACATATATAGCATTTTCGGACCCGAGCTCGGGTCCGTGGGGCTTAAGAGGTTAAAAAGCTGAGGGTTAGGCTAGGTTTCTTTTTCAGAAACAAGTCCTGTTTCTCGCTTGAGGCCAGGAAAAGGCTAGTCACTGTGACCTTTTTACCTGTGCTGGACTATGGTGATTTGATGTATATGAATGCACCTGCCAATTGCCTGGTCAAGTTAGATGCTGCGTATCACAGTGCACTGAGATTTGTGACAAACTGTAAAGCATTAACCCATCACTGTATGCAAGGGCTGGTTTGCTTTCACTAACTGTACGGAGGCTCAGTCACTGGTACATTTTTATATACAAAGCCATGTTAGGGAAACATCCATCCTACATCTGCTCCCTGATCTCACGGCGAATTGTAAGTGGCTACTGCCTGAGATCGAATGCTGTGGTTTTATTAAATGTGCCAACTGCTAGGACTGTCTTAGGGAAGATAGCTTTTAGATGCGCAGCTCTGCTAACTTGGAACAGTCTGCAAAAGGAATGGAAGCTGAGCAATTTGGTTCCACTAAATGTTTTTAAAGCAAGGATAGATGCTATCCAATCGGAAACTGTTGGAACCTGTAAATGTTACTAGCTATGTAAACTGTAGTCGCTGTAAATATGCTGTATGATGTCCTTTTAGTTTTTCTGTTATGTTTATATGTATTCATGTGGTGCAGCAGGTCACCCTTGAAAAATAGATCAATGGGATTCACCTGCATAAATAAAGGTTTGAAATGAAATGAAATGTTTTACTTTTGTAACTCTCGATGTTTGTGACAAATATAACACCTCGTGTACTTGTACAGCCAGCCAGTCATATTTTGGGATTTTAAGTGGGGTGCTGCTCTGAGGTTTTGATTGATATGTCTTCTTGAGCCATACACTGTCTTGAGATCTTATCCATTGTATCCTTGTCTTGTAATTTTTGACTGAAAGGGCAAAAGGCTAGACCTACTTTGGTTGAACTATGTCCCTGCTTTTGACAAATAGGTGTGCAATTGACATGCCAGATTGAATGAAAATTTAAAATATTGGTCATTTTGGGAAGGCGTGTTATTAGGTGGGCTGAGGGGCCCTGAGCTCTCAGTGCCCAGGGGCCCCTATAGGTACTAATCCGGCCTTGGTTACAGCGTTAGTTACTGCTTACTTTAGATTTAGATTTCCACACACAAAACGTATACATCACTTTTACAACAGGGTTAATTAAAAACAGTTTTTACAAAATTAGTTAATAACACTTAATATATATATACACTGTCATAATAACTGCATGAAATCAGTATATAATTATAAACTTCTACTCCATATTTGCCGTTGACCTGTGTTTATAGAAGTAAAGATATATTTCGGCTGTGATTGGTTATTCCTCGTCACGTGACAAGCGTTGCGCGCTGCTGCGTCTACATCGGGGTTCCCTGGATGCACCCTGAGTAAAAAGGCACTTGAGTGCTGGCATGCGTCGGCGGCGTCCACCACTTGTTTTGGGAGGCTGCTTTGAATACAAGTGAAATGAGCGCACAAAAAACACTCATGTGTACGCCCCCTAACACGTAAAAACAACAACCACAAAAAAAATGGCAACTGCACTCGTTCACTTTAGTTGTGGTGAAAACAAAGGAAAATGCATTTTGTCAAACCATGCGTTAGCAAGTGTGTTGAAGTTTGTATATATGTACTCACACTGTATAGTTGTGGGATGGAAGATGATCTCAAGGTGAGCGATAGAAGGCTGGCAGGTTTCCCGGGAATCAGAAGAGTCTTGCCTGAGTTCAAAGAATAATCTGGCAATGAGTGAGTGTGCAGGAGAGGCTTATATACTAGCTGATTGGAGATGAAAAGCAGCAAGGAGCCCAGGTGAGCTGACAGTGGGGTGTGGCTGTCCAGTCGGGTGAGGTGGAGGGGGGTCAGTGGAAAAGTACTGAGGTGCAGCATGTATGGCGAGAAGCAGACCGTGATAATAAGATCCGGGATCAGCAACTTATTCCACTGATGTTGGAAAATTTCATCTGGTGCTAGCTTCGTTATTGTCGATAAAATATATAGACTGCCATTTAGGAACATACAGTAAATACAATTCTGCTTCAAACAATAGGGCTAGGCCAAACTGTCTAGACATCTAATTAAAACTACAAACACTTATGCTGAACTGAGGATGATCCTCCGTAACTTTAAAGTAACAAAGAGGGTCTCTACGATCTTTCGGGTCGAACTCCATGAAAACGTTATGTATTAAAATGTCCAATTCATTGTGTTGGGATATTACAACACATTGAAGGAAGTCCAGGAGAATGGCAGCATTGTTTGCTACACCCGGAAAAGTGTCCATAACCTGTCAAGTATGATGCCAAGATTTTTGGGTGCAGCTTTTGCAGTTCAGATAACAATAACTTGCAATAGTTTAAGTCTAAAGAATTGTGTGCAGACTCTTCCTTCTCGCATAGACGGAAATCAATCTGTGGAGATAAACATTTTTAAACTGAAACAGCTTGGGAATATACACAGAGTAGATAAAAATATATATATATTTAAAGAATAAAAGATTTAAAAACTTTGAAAAATATACAACTATAAGTGAGCTAGAGTGTTGATGATCAGATCAAGGGGCGTTGGTGAACTCAAGTTCGAAAAAAGCTCTTAGTTGGGGCAAAGAAACTTTAAATGTAAAAAAAGACCAATATAATGTTCTAATGATTTTATTGCATATAAGTATTGATAACATAGAATTATGTCCTGGACCAGGTGGTGACCAAAAGAAGCACCAAAACAGTATAATATGTAAGCAAGTAGAGCTCTAAACATTCTCAAAATGCAATCACTGTCATTCTAGGAGATGATTTTAGAAAGAAGTGATTTTTGGTTTTCTTTTGCATTGTGAACTTCTCCAGTTCTTCACTTAATCCAGACGAGAGCCGTACACCTCCACCTCACACAGACTCAGGAACTCATCCCGTCCTGGGATGACTATGTTGACGAAGCGACCGTCCATCCAGTGCTGGAATTGGGCCGGTACTCACCGGTACGCAGTACCGGCACTTCTGGTTCTGACCCATGGAGTACCGGCACTTCTTGCTCAGTACCGGCATGCTGGCGGTACTCCGGTACTCATGCACCGTGCCAGTACTCAACACTCTCCCGCCATTCTTATTATACATCCATATATATATACAGCCGCCCGGTACTCAGTAGATGCGTCATGAGGTGCCGAACGGACATTCTCATCGCTCTAACCGCTGGAGTTTCACAGCGGCTGTCAGCTGTTTACTCCTGTCATTCAAACAGAACGTGCTGGAGAGGGGGCGGGGCTTATCTTCTCCATGTAAATACTGTGGTGGAAACGACTATGTCAAAATTAACCTATTTGACCGTGATTTAATAGTAATACACGTTTCAAAATAATAATAATAATAATGCCGAAGTAACAACATACTGAAAACTGTTAGTAAAACCATGTTTTAATGCTTTACAATTTACATACCTAGATGCACGTGTGTTGTGTTTATGCAGTGCAACTCCCACCCAGTGGGTGGCTATGTAGAGTGATAGAACAGAGCAGGCACGCCCCCGAGAGAAGGAAAGCAAGTCACGTCACAAATTAGCATTTCTTAAAATGTTAGCATGGATTAATAAAAGTGCAAAAAGACAGCGGTTGTCGCCGGAAGAAACTTCAAATACAGAGAATGCTGTGCCTGTGTTGGAAATTGTGTCTGATGGGGAGCTTTCTTTGGTTGATCCTCCTGCTCCAAGTTCTAGTGCATTAGCATTAGCACTAGCTCCGCCGCCTCCTCCAGAGCCTCTAACGTTAGCTGCTGCTGGCGCAACTGCCACCACCAACACCGGGCAAAGCGATGCACCTGACTGCTGGACAACGGACCAGGTGCAATATTTTTGCAAGACCAATGCATGGCTCCTTCTTAAAGATAAGAAGCTAGGATGTCGGATATGCAGAGATGTCAAATCTTTGGGAATACACACTGGACAAGGACTGAAACTGTCAACTGAATGGGGTGAGTGTGTAGTGTCTCATTTTGGTGTTGACAAGGGCAAACAACAAGCTAGCCTGAGAAAAAAAATCAAAGAACATCACAATCACAACAATCACAAGCCCATGTAAAAGCTGCTGACATCCTTACATCTGCTTCACGTGAAACTATTCAACATCAAGTGCAGTCTATGCATACATCTGAATTAGACACCACTATCAGAGTTTTTCGAACGGCATATAAAATTGGCAAACATAGCCGGCCATTCACAGACATGCCAATTGATTTGAATGTACAGAAACTGAATGGGCTGAACGTGGGCAGGGTTTTGCACTCCAATAAAACCTGTGGCGAAATCATCGACCACATAGCTCATGAGCTGAAGAAAAAAATGGCAAAAGACATTACAGAAAACCAAAGAAAACTCTGTGTTTTGGTCGATGAATCTACCACTATTAGTGGTAAAACGGTGCTTGTTGTGTGTCTACGCTCAGCATTAGCTGATGCTGAGCCCGAAACGTTTTTTTGGGAGCTGATCGAGTTGGATGGAACAACGGCTGATGACATCACAAGGCGTTAATGGAGTGTCTTGGAAGAGATTTTAACGAGGACTTTTTAGGTCAGTGTTTCGTTTTTTTGCATGTGATGGGGCTTCAGTCATGCTAGGGAAGAGAACAGGCGTTGCTACCCAGTTGTGTAGTAAATTCCCAAGCCTGTTTGTGTGGCACTGCTCCAATCATCGTCTAGAGCTGGCAGTTGGGGATGTGGTCAAGGAGGTCTCAGGGCTCAATCATTTCCAGATCTTTTTTGACAAACTCTATTCCTTGTTCCATGCCTCCCCCAAAAATCAGAGGCAGTTAGCGCAGTGTGCGCAAGCAGTCGGACAGCGTCTCCTGGTGATAGGGCGTGTTTTGTCCATCCGCTGGGTGGCTTCAAGTGAAAGGAGCGTCAGAGCAGTCTGGGAAAACTACCGAGTGCTTCATGATCACTTCACAAATGCTGCAAACGACACGAGCAGGGATTCCAGAGACAGAGCAAAGTACAAGGGCCTGGATGATGTGCTCACATCTGCAACGTTTGTCAGCAATCTGGGACTGATGTACGATGCGCTCACAGAGCTCAGCGACCTCTCTCGGCAACTCCAAAAAAGAGAGATGACACTGCCTACAGCAGATAGGCTCTTAACTCGAGAAATACGAGTTTTTGAATCCATGGTCACCATGCCTGGCCCACACATGACTACAGTTCATACAGCTCTAGCTGAGAAGTCCTTCAAGGGTGTTGCCCTGCGTGAGAATGGCAGGCTTGTACAGATTCATGCAGGTCAGTTTTTCCGCAGTATGGTAGAGAATCTGAGACACAGAATGACTTCCACAACCTCCTCTCATGTCAGCACAAGAGAAATCCCATTACATGGCCGGGAGGCCCGGGACAATCAGCTAATCCAGGACATGAAAGTTATCCATCCTGGAAGTTGGCCTGAAGAGGAGTTAGACGTACAGTATGGGGACGTAGAGGTGCTACGTTTGTGCGAAGTGCTGAAAGTGGACAGGAGAGAGACTGTTCAGGGCTTTCGCGAATACAAGGAAACCAGGGCATCCCGTACACCTGCTGCCATGGAGCCTCTACTGAAAGCAGTCCGAACCATCGCAGTCTCCACTAGTGAGTGTGAGCGGGCATTCAGCTGCATGAACGATATCCTTACTGCAAAAAGGAATGCTCTCTCTGTCAGCCGACTGTCCAGCCTGGTTTTCATTAAATGTAATGGACCATCACTAGGACAGTTCAATCCGGAACAGTATGTGAGGTCCTGGCTGGCAAAGGGAAGAAGAAGTGCTGATGAAAGAGCCTGTCCAGCTCCAGCCCCTGATACTGATGTCCCCAAGGCCTTCTGGAGCCTTTTCTAACAATGTGAAGTATATTGCAAAGCAGCTCACCCAGTGAGAAGACTTTTGGCATAATGTGCCGATTTATACAGATCCTGGAGATAGAAGGACTTCAGACCAACCAGGGAGTTATCTGATCAGCTTGGTGTTCAATGTAACTCTTTACCATGGCTCAGACTTTGTTACTTGCAGTTACAGTTTCTCATTTTAGATTGTGCAAATTTTGCATTTTTTTTACATGTTCTTTGTTCATGCTCTTTATCATTTTTCTGAGTTGGAAAGTTAGATTGCATCATAGTTTACTTTATACATATTTGTATTCTTCAGTGGTGAAGTATATTGCAAAGCAGCTCAGCCATGTGAGAAGACTTTTGGCACTTTTTCGTTTTTCGTTTTCTGAGTTGGAAAGTTAGATTGCATTCAAAATGTACAGAAATACTTAATTTTGTTAAAGCTTTTTATAAAAAATGCTTCTGACCAGAGCTTTGTTTCCTTGTCATTAATGTTGAACACCACCAGAGGGGCTCTCACCTGAAAGGTCTCTGCTTCATGTGTCTTCAGCAGAAGATCTAGACTTTGATTGCTATATTTTCAGTTAATATTGACCTTACTGAGCTTTAGCCATATCCGCTGCCTATCATAAAAAATGTTAAGTACAGTGAACCTTTCTAAAAATATACAGTAGTAAAGAGACAAACCCACCAGCATTATAGTAGCCAAATTCTTGTTTGTGGGCTGTATATATAAAATTGACTTGAAAAAGTTGCTGATTTTAGAGTACTGGCACCTTTTTCATTCCAATTCAAGCACTGCGTCCATCCCCTTACAATCAAACGCACCGGCACCACCTGCAGGGATACTTGTGATCACAGCACACCTGGCAGAAGAAGCAGAAATGACTTGAGTTCAATTAAGGTTGGTTTTGTTGCTTTAACAAAGTGCACTGTT